TATTTTCTGTCATTAAATAAACCTTTCGGCATTCCTAAAAGTGGACTGAAGTTTATGTTGTGTGTTCTGTTGGTATAAAGCCGTATAATAAGCGGGATAACATATATTACGCTACTACACCTGCTACTACTACTACCAATACTGCTACTGCTACTACTGCTACTACTACAGCTACTGCTACAGCTACTACTGCTACTACTACTACTACTGCTACTACTACTACTACTACCAATACTGCTACTGCCACTACTACAGCTACTGCTGCTACTACTACAGCTACTGCTACTACTACTACTACTACAGCTACTGCTAACATTGGCTACTGCTACTTCTACTACTACTACTACTACAGTCACTCACATGGAGTGTTTTTTTTTTTTATATTATATTTATATATATATACATATACACTACTGCTACTATAAGGTACATGGTCATGCTACAGTCTATCAAAGGGTTTAAAGTATGAGATTTTCAATCTCAATGAATTTCCTCCACTTTGCTTGTCAATACAATAAGCATAAAAATGTTCATTAAAATAAAGAGTCTTAACTGTTCCGTCGACAACAAATACCTGGTTTTCATAAAGTACAATTTGCTTAATTCTTTTAAACAAAGGTAAGTCATTGAACATACCAGTACATACAAAAAGTCCAGTTTGACACCATGTCCCATAACTCATGATCCAGTTTGTGACTGCTACAACAGTGTTCATTCCCTCGTGCATAGCTTCACATAAGAGTTCCAGTTTCCAACTCTCCTAATGTTTGGACTTTCGCAGGGCCAGATTTCTAGTTTACCTAAAGACAAGTTTCATAATAAAAAGCCATTTTTAGCCATAACAAAAATGGCTTTTTATTAAGAAGAAATGAACATTGTCTGTGCTGCGTTTTGCAAACAAAACAAGTAAACATTGTTAAACAAACGAAGTTCCTCTTCAAAGACAGTTCACTCAGTCAGTTCTTGTAGCAGTTTGGTTCGCAGCTCCTTCACTCGTGGTGTTTCCTTTGTCTCGCCAACGTCAATGTTGAATGTGTAAAAACCTTTGAGCGCTTCATCATATGAGACACTGAAGACGTAGTGAGCTTTGAAGAGGGAGTCAAAAGCAGCCAAAGTTGTCTGTGCAGCACACGGAATGGCCTTTTGGTCCAAGATGATATAGAACCCAGTGATCCTCTTATCCTCACCAATGAACAGGAGGAAGGGTCTGCAGTCCACAGTCTCAAGAAAGTTGACAGACTTATTCCTTCCTAAAAAAGGAAAAATGATCATGAAGATTAAGTTTGTAAATTTAGTGTTTTGTTTTACCTTCACAATTTTAAGGAGAACTACATATAAATCAACAAATTTTTTTTAAAAACTTGACTTCACTATTTGTTCTTGAGTCAGACTCATGTGAACTCCAAAATGTTCTTTCTTTAGATAGAGCCTTTGTGATTGTGAACCTTTGAGTTTACTCTATAACCTCAGCAGGTTTTTATTCTACCCAAACAGCAGCACACCGGACGCCACCATTTCCTCAGGTAAAGACTGAGCTCCTTTAAATGGGTGGAGTCTGGTGTGCTCCTGTGAAGGACCTTTAAGGACTACGTTACACCCCTGCACAAAAAAAATATATATATATATATATATTATATATATATACACACACACGAATTGAACTACAACCACTGAATCACAGGTGTGTATCGCTCTTTGATTATATCAGAACACCTAACCTTCATCTTGGTCTTGTTTTGGCCCCCTGCGGTTGGTGGAAGTAAATGTAGGAGCAGTAGGAGAGACACAACATCACTGTCCCAGCCTTGAAAAAAGAAGTACAACTTAAAATGGCTGAAATGTTTAGTAGCCATAATGTCCACAATCTATACAACACCAGCACTAACAAAGTTTACAATTTACCTGACTCATCTGTAGGGTCCAAGGTATCCAGTAGCTCTTTAAGAAAGACAGTTGGATGAGTACTTCGGCGTTCCTATTCTTTAAATATATTTTTCCCTCCTGGGTGGGACCTCAGAACATTTTCCACCTGCTATTAAAGAAAAAACAGCAACAATTTTTTTTTTTACACATGTAGAAAAACTGTAGTATTAAGTGTTGAATACCTGTCGTGCTTCGTTACGGTCCAACTCTTTTAAGGACCCACTCCTCTTTTTTGTTGATTTCACAGTCCTTGATGCATCTGATTCAAAGCCTGATGTTGAGAGGTAGTCTGGATATGAATACTGCGATACTGGGGAGATGGATGTAGACTTTGTGTTAGGCTGGGGTTGTGCAAGTGAAGAGGATGCTGTGGAATCATTAAAGACATCCAGTTGAATGTCTAAAAAATAAAAAATAAATGAGCTTCCATTTGAAAACATTAAAATACATACACAATATGTATTGACTTACCCAAAACCTGGAACATGAAATCTGCTTTGAAATCCTTCACCCCAGATTTGACCAATTCATCAAAGATGTCTTCATCATCTTGTGTGTCGGTTTCATCAGTCAGGTAGAGTTCAGTTTCCAGTTGGTTTTGCAGACTGAACTTATTTGTTTACTGGGGGGGGAGGGGATATATTTTCACTACACCATTCAGATTGATAAATTGGCCATAAATACAGTGTTTTATTTTATTTTAACATTAATATCTAATCATCTACCTACTCATTCAAATGTAAATGTACCTTAGTGTTAGAAATAAATTGAAATGAAAGAGTTCTTCAGTTCTTGGCACTTTGATGAATCTCTTGATGAATCTCTTGATGAATCTCTTGATGCCTCCATTCTCCACTTTGACCAGCATTTTCTGCACAACATAAAGCAAAAAATATGTATTACTTTGTCAAGTCAACAGACTGCTCACCAACAAATGGCAAATCAAGAGGTATCAATACGCTGACACATGGCCTTCATGCATTCCAGAAATGTTAGTTTAATTGATCAGCATACACACTTTAAGAGGAATTTGGACTCAAAGTTGACAGAAGTTCACGGAACTGATGTATGCTTTACATTCATGGTCCGTCACAATTGTTGCACAGAATTTATACAATTTTAATGTAGTATTTGTAAAGTTTCAATAACTAAGAGGCTGTCGTGAACAATCATAGCACTCCTCCGGATGGACCTGTGAGCGCACTGCGTCTTGCCACATGAATTATATTCGCCACAACCCCTAAATACATCTAGAACTAAATATAAAAAGGTATGTGGCCATGTGCCACCACATAAAGTGCGGTATGCTAGCCACGCATACTTAACATAGCCTTATCACAAAATTATAATAAAACAAAATCAGGACTCACAATATCATCAACAGTTAAATGAAAGGATATTTTTCATAGTAACCCAAAACCAATTTAATCCTCAAAAACTAGTTTTTGGCTTACGGAAATTAGCTAGCTACACAATTCGCTTTAGCGACACGCTAAACAATTGTAAATCAACAATGTAATTTCAAGCAATGTATAAAGTAATGTTACAGATACACAGTTAACTTTAAAAAATAAGTAATTAGGTTTACTCACCGAGAGACGACAAACTGTCCAACAAAGTCACGTTGAGTAAAATGGCTGAAGCCTCCAAATCCTCACTTGTCCGCTCTAAAGGGGCGGGGCCTCTCAGCTTTAACTCACCTGGTGTTACCATGGCTCATAGAGTTCAGAGTGAAAAATACGGAGTTACATTAACCATCTTTAAATTGGCAACACTTAATGGTTTTACTCCCAAATTTAACCTCAAATCAAAGACTCATTTGAGTGAAATTCAGTGAATAATAACTCATTTAGAGTAAAGTTAACTCTGTACCCCTAGAAAAAACAGCAACACTCAGATTTCAACACTTTGGAATTTGCTGTGTAGAGAGTGCAAAGAGAGACCAGAGAGAGACCAGAGAGAGTGCAAAGAGAGAGACCAGAGAGAGAGCCCTGAGAGAGACAGACCAGAGAGAGACCAGAGAGAGAGACATGTGAGATGAGAGTGACACAGATCATAAATAACACACCCATGTCCTCAACTGCAAACACTCTTCCCTTTTGCATCCCTCCGTCTCCAGTTTGGTGGAGAGAGAAGAGAGCACTTAAAAACCTTTCCCGCCGCTGTAGCGAGTGCACAGAGCCTTAACAACACAGGAGCAATGTGTCGGTTATTTGTGTTCGACCATTAAGTGATGAATTATAAATCAGAGCAGATACAAACCCAGACGTGAGTCATGTCCCCAGCGCTGTGGTCCAGAGAGGCACCAGTTTTTCATTTAGACCTGTTTGGATCTGGCGGTGTAGTATCTTTTATTGTTTACATTCTGTTTCTCTGACTATGACGAAATAAACATGTAATCTAGTATTTCAATTTCAAGTAATTTGTTCTTCGGTCATCAAAAAATGAAAATGAAAATAGAGAACACGAACAGTTAAATTGTCAGTTTGAAACAACATTATCCATCGCTGGATCACGAGGGCAGCATCCTGAGCACGGACGCCCAGACTTCGCCCTCTACACCCCTGAGTCCTCCAGCTCATCTGGGGGAATCCTGAGGCGTCTCTAGGCCAGAACAACCCCCTGATCCCTGCAACCGATCCACCTCTAATCTCACCTCCATCCTCCAGGACCTGGAGAGGACCAGGAACTGGGTACGGCATCTGTTTCTGGTCGAGCACCATGGCCTCAGATTTGGAGGAGCTGATTCTCATCCCAGCCGCTTCACACTCTGCTGCAAACCGTCCCAGTGCATGTTGTAAGTCCTGGTTTGTTGGAGCCAAAAGGACAACATCGTCTGAAACAGCAGAGATGAAAGGCTTTGGTCTCTGATCCGGACCCGCTCCGGCCTCTGGCTTTGGTCTCTGAAGCGGACCCCCTCCTGGTGCAGGACAACACCGGGAACAGGTCTGACTCAACATCTTGCTTCAAATTACATTAAAAGTGACAATTGTGTCTTAATTTGTTCGTATTTAAACTTTTAAAACAATTCACAGACTGTATGTCCGCCATCTTGTTTGCTTCGGCTGCTGAGAAGCATGCGCAGGTCTGCATTACATCATAAACAACTGATGCAGTGCAAACCCACGGTACACCGAAGATGAGAACGCACCTCTGACTCCTGAAAACCCCCAAAGGAACGCAGCTCTGACTCTGGAGAACCCCCAAAGGAACGCAGCTCTGACTCTGGAGAACCTCTCAAAGGAACGCAGCTCTGACTCTGGAGAACCTCTCAAAGGAACGCAGCTCTGACTCTGGAGAACCCCGAAAGGAACGCAGCTCTGACTCTGGAGAACCCTCAAAGGAACGCAGCTCTGACTCTGGAGAACCTCTCAAAGGAACGCAGCTCTGACTCTGGAGAACCCCCAAAGGAACGCAGCTCTGACTCTGGAGAACCTCTCAAAGGAACGCAGCTCTGACTCTGGAGAACCCCGAAAGGAACGCAGCTCTGACTCTGGAGAACCCTCAAAGGAACGCAGCTCTGACTCTGGAGAACCCTCAAAGGAACGCAGCTCTGACTCTGGAGAACCTCTCAAAGGAACGCAGCTCTGACTCTGGAGAACCCCCAAAGGAACGCAGCTCTGACTCTGGAGAACCTCTCAAAGGAACGCAGCTCTGACTCTGGAGAACCCCGAAAGGAACGCAGCTCTGACTCTGGAGAACCTCTCAAAGGAACGCAGCTCTGACTCTGGAGAACCTCTCAAAGGAACGCAGCTCCGACTCTGGAGAACCCCCAAAGGAACACAGCTCTGACTCTGGAGAACCCCCAAAGGAACGCAGCTCTGACTCTGGAGAACCTCTCAAAGGAACGCAGCTCTGACTCTGGAGAACCTCTCAAAGGAACGCAGCTCTGACTCTGGAGAACCTCTCAAAGGAACGCAGCTCTGACTCTGGAGAACCCCCAAAGGAACGCAGCTCTGACTCTGGAGAACCCCCAAATGAACGCAGCTCTGACTCTGGAGAACCCCCAAAGGAACGCAGCTCTGACTCTGGAGAACCTCTCAAAGGAACGCAGCTCTGACTCTGGAGAACCTCTCAAAGGAACGCAGCTCTGACTCTGGAGAACCCCCAAAGGAACTCAGCTCTGACTCTGGAGAACCCCCAAAGGAACGCAGCTCTGACTCTGGAGAACCCCCAAAGGAACGCAGCTCTGACTCTGGAGAACCCCCAAAGGAACGCAGCTCTGACTCTGGAGAACCTCTCAAAGGAACGCAGCTCTGACTCTGGAGAACCTCTCAAAGGAACACAGCTCTGACTCTGGACAACCCCCAAAGGAACGCAGCTCTGACTCTGGAGAACCTCTCAAAGGAACGCAGCTCTGACTCTGGAGAACCCCCAAAGGAACGCAGCTCTGACTCTGGAGAACCCCCAAATGAACGCAGCTCTGACTCTGGAGAACCCCCAAAGGAACGCAGCTCTGACTCTGGAGAACCTCTCAAAGGAACGCAGCTCTGACTCTGGAGAACCCCCAAACGAACGCAGCTCTGACTCTGGAGAACCCCCAAAGGAACGCAGCTCTGACTCTGCAGAACCTCTCAAAGGAACACAGCTCTGACTCTGGAGAACCCCCTCTCTCTCTAGTCTCTCTCTTTGGTCTCTCTCTCTGGTCTCTCTCTCTCTGGTCTCTCTCTCTGGTCTCTCTCTCTCTGGTCTCTCTCTTTGGTCTCTCTCTCTCTGGTCTCTCTCTCTGGTCTCTCTCTCTCTGGTCTCTCTCTCTGGTCTCCCTCTTTGGTCTCTCTCTCTCTGGTCTGTCTCTCTGGTCTCCCTCTGGTCTCTCTCTGGTCTCTCTCTGGTCTCTCTCTGGTCTCTCTCTGGTCTCTCTCTGTTCTTTCTCTGGTCTCAGAGACCAATAAAACATGTGAAAGTGACTGAGCAGTTTTCAGAGCCAGGCCCTGGTCACATTGATGGTATTTCAGTTATTCTCAGTGGTTTGAAAGTTAAGTACCCGAGCTTTAAGGAGGTCAAAGTGAGAAAGACAAGAGCAGGTGTTTGAGAATCATTCAGCTCCACACTTCGTCTCCTCCAGAACATTGATTAGTCCTTCACCGACTTTCACTGGACACAGTCGGACTCTGCTCCGTCAGGACTCACTGTTTTCGGATCAATGAGTGAGTGAAACCCACAGAATAGAATATTATTATTATTATTATTATTATTAGAGTTTAACGAGAACACAACTGTCGTTAATACATTAACAATGACAGACAAAAACAATCACTAACCCTTTTATGTTTCAAATATTGTCGTTTTTACTGCAGAAAACACACTCCAGACACCAGCATACAGTATGTGCTGTCATATTTATTTTATCTCTCTCTGGTCTCTCTCTGGTCTCTCTCTCTCTGGTCTCTCTCTCTCTGGTCTCTCTCTCTCTGGTCTTTCTCTGGTCTCTCTTTGGTCTCTCTCTGGTCTCTGTCTCGGTCTCTCTCTCTGGTCTTTCTCTGGTCTCTCCTCCTGGTCTCTCTCTGGTCTCTCTCTCTGGTCTCACTCTCTGGTCTCTCCTCCTGGTCTCTCTCTGGTCTCTCTCTGTTCTCTCACTGGTCTCTCTCTCCAAACAGTAAAGTGTTCTCATCAGGCCACAGTGCAGCAGGCAGACACTGATGACTTTACTCTGATTACAGAGCTGTAATTGAGCTGTTGGAGAAAAGTGGAATCCGCTGAAAAACCAGAGCTGGAGACTTTTAATCGTCTCCGAGTCCAATTTAGAACAGATTAAAACCAGGAGCGTTCTGTGGTTTTAATAAGGCACATGGTTCTGTTGATACTGCTGAGTACATGCAGCAGCAGTCTCTCTCTGGTCTCTCTCTGTGGTCTCTCTCTGTGGTCTCTCTCTGGTCTCTCTCTCTCTCTGGTCTCTCTCTGCTCTCTGTGGTCTCTCTGTGGTCTCTCTCTCTCTCTCTCTCTCTCTGGTTTTTCTCTCTCTGGTCTCTCTCTGGTCTCTCTCTATCTCTGGATTCTATCTCTCTGGTCTCTCTCTGGTCTCTCTGTCTGATTCTATCTCTCTGGTCTCTCTGTCTGGATTCTATCTCTCTGGTCTCTCTGTCTGGATTCTATCTCTCTGGTCTCTCTGCTCTCTCTGTCTGGATTCTATCTCTCTGCTCTCTCTGGTCTCTCTCTCTCTCTCTGGTCTCTCTCTCTCATTTGTACAGATGAAACACTGGATTGATAAAGTATCTGTACCTTTGAGCCTGAGTCTTTCTGTGGACGGGTTTGATCAAAGTATAAATCCAAACACAGTCATTCTCTGTGGGTTCAAACCTCCAGAGAGTAAACTTCTGCACATGAGGCTCTGACTGTTCAGCTCTGACTGTTCAGAGGACTTCACAGAGATGTCAATTCACCGACAACAGATTAGAAAATCAAACACAGTCAATGTGAAAGTGACAAAAAGGCCCAAAAACTTAACCTCTGATAGATAACAGGTCTCTCTCTCTCTCCCCCTCTCTCTCTCCCTCACTCTCTCTCCACCCTCTCCCTCTGTCCCCTCTCTCTCTATCTCCCTCCCCCCCTCCCTCTCTCTCCCCTCTCTCCCTTTTCTACCTCTTCCTCTCTCTCACTCCCCCTTTCTCTCCCCCTCTCTCTCTCTCGCCCTCTCTCTCTCTCCCTCTCTCACTTTCCCTCTCTACCTCTCTCTCTCTGCCCTCCCTCCCCCCCCCCCCTCTCTCTCCCTCTCACTTTCTCTCTCTCCGTCTCCCCCCATCCCAGCCCAGACCGCCCCGTCCAGAGCAGAGGCTGTGAGCTGGTCATTACCCTGTGACTCTGTCCCAAACAGCGATCGATTTCTGTGGCGGATAAAACGCCTCCGCAGCCAAAAGGTCGCTCCGTGTCACGCCTCCTCCCATGCTCCTCCCCAAAGTGGATTTGCATTTTGGGGGGAGAGAGAATGTTAGAGAGAGAGAGAAAGAGTTAGAAAAAGAGTTGTGGAGAGAGAGAGAGAGAGAGAGAGATTATCCAGTGTGTGTGATGCATTTTCTTGTTGCTACAGGAGTAATGTTTGTATCTGTAATAATACGACCTTTTTATAAAGAACTCTTTTGGATTCTGAAAGACATTCTGGTCTCTCTCTGGTCTCTCTCTGGTCTCTCTCTGGTCTCTCTCTGCTCTCTCTCTGGCCTCTCTCTCTCTGGTTTCTCTTTCCCTGGTCAATCTATGGTATCTCTCTGGTCCCTCTCTGCTCTCTCTCTGTGGTCTCTCTCTCTCTGTGGTCTCTTTCTCTCTCTCTCTGATCTCTCTCTGCTCCCTCTCTCCGGCCTCTTTTTGCTCCCTCTCCGTGGTCTCTCTCTCTCTCTGCTCCTTCTTTCTGGTCTCTCTCTCTCTCTGTTCTCTTTCTGTGGTCTCTCTCTTTGCCTCTCTGGTCTCTCTCTCTCTCTCTGCTCTCTCTCTGTGCTCTCTCCCTCTGGTCTCTCTCTGGTCTCCCTCTGTTCTCTCTCTGCTCCCTCTCTCAGCTCTCTCTCTCTCTGCTCCCTCTCTCAGCTCTCTCTCTCTCTGCTCTCTCTCTCTGTTCCCTCTCTCTGCTCTCTCGCTCTCTCTCTCTCTCCTTTAATCAGATTTCCATTACTGGTAGAGCAGAGTGTGTCGCTGCCTGTTGCTCGTATGTGTAACGTATGTGTTTTACTGAAAGTGTTTTGATGCTATTAGACTGAGCTGAACCCAAAGAGCCAACATTATCTATATGATAATCCACATTCCACAGGTTCAGGAGAAGCGTCTCCGTTCAGAGCTTTCAGAGAGCGCCGTGTCATACATATTCAGATGATATATAACACTTGTCTCACATAAGGTTTGGAAGTGTTTATGATTCTATACACAGCAAAGAACGGGAACGGGATTTAATGTGAACTGAGGAGATTTATGTTTATTCTACATCCTGCATCTTGGGTCAGAGCAAAACATGTTTATCTCATGTTTTATATGGACTAGAGGCCACCCACGGTACTGAAGCCTACATCCACATGGACTAGAGGCCACCCACGGTACTGAAGCCTACATCCACATGGACTAGAGGCCACCCACGGTACTGCATTCTAAATCCACATGGACTAGAGGCCACCCACGGTACTGCAGCCTACATCCACATGGACTAGAGGCCACCCACGGTACTGCATTCTACATCCACATGGACTAGAGGCCACCCACGGTACTGCAGCCTACATCCACATGGACTAGAGGCCACCCACGGTACTGCAGCCTACATCCACATGGACTAGAGGCCACCCACGGTACTGCAGCCTACATCCACATGGACTAGAGGCCACCCACGGTACTGCAGCCTACATCCACATGGACTAGAGGCCACCCACGGTACTGCAGCCTACATCCACATGGACTAGAGGCCACCCACGGTACTGCAGCCTACATCCACATGGACTAGAGGCCACCCACGGTACTGCAGCCTACATCCACATGGACTAGAGGCCACCCACGGTACTGCAGCCTACATCCACATGGACTAGATGCCACCCACTGTACTGCAGCCTACATCCACATGGACTAGAGGCCACCCGCGGTACTGCAGCCTACATCCACATGGACTAGAGGCCACCCGCGGTACTGCAGCCTACATCCACATGTCTAAGGTCTAAGGACAGTGGTCGTCCTGCTCCGGTTGGACCAATGGCTCCTCTGTGTTTGTTCTTATTGCATTTCCAGTGTTGGCAAATCTGGTGTTGGTGAATCTGGTGTTGGTGAATCTGGTGTTGGTGAATCTGGTGTTGGCAAATCTGGTGTTGGTGAATCTGGTGTTGGCAAATCTGGTGTTGGTGAATCTGGTGTTGGTGAATCTGGTGTTGGTGGATCTGGTGTTGGTGAATCTGGTTTTGGTGAATCTGGTGTTGGTGAATCTGGTGTTGGTGAATCGCCGACTCCGTAAAGTCCTGTTGTGGTTTTGAGCTGTAAACAAACACATTTAATGAAAGTATGTTTTATTCTGTGTTTTTACCAAGTCAAATCCTTCTGATCGCTCATGTTTAGAATCAATCACAATCTTTTTCCCTGCGTCGACAGAACGAGCTGGAGCTGGGAACACTGTGAATATTGTGAACACCGGCACATCGGGAACACTGAGAAAATTGGGAGCATTAGGAACACCGGGAAAGTTGAGAACAGTGGGAACATTGGGAACACTGGGAACACAGGGAACACTGGGAACACTTGGAACATTGGGAACACTGGGAACACTTGGAACATTGGGAACCCTGGGAACACTGGGAACACTGGGAATACTGGGAACACTTGGAACATTGGGAACACTGGGAACACTTGGAACATTGGGAACAGTGGGAACACTGGGAACACTTGGAACATTGGGAACAGTGGGAACACTGGGAACACTTGGAACATTGGGAACACTGGGAACACTGGAAACACATGGAACATTCGGAACACTGGGAACACTTGGAACATTGGGAACCCTGAGAACATTGGGAACACTGGGAACACTTGGAACATTGGGAACAGTGGGAACACTGGGAACAGTTGGAACATTGGGAACACTTGGAACATTGGGAACAGTGGGAACACTGGGAACACTTGGAACATTGGGAACACTGGGAACACTGGAAACACTTGGAATATTGGGAACACTGGGAACACTGGAAACACTTGGAACATTGGGAACACTGGGAAAACTGGGAACACTTGGAACATTGGGAACACTGGGAACACTTGGAACATTAGGATCATTGGGAACATTGGGAACACTGGGAACACTTGGAACATTGGGAACACTGGGAACACTTGGAACATTGGGAACTGGGAAAATTGGGAATACTGGCTACTGGGAACATTGGGAGCATTGTGAACACCGGGAATATTGGGAGCATTAGGAACACCGGGAAAGTTGAGATCCCCAGGAACATAAGGAACACTGAGAACACTGTGGACGTGAGGGAGAAACATGCTCTTCCCTGAGGTGGAGTGGATCCAGAGGTTGCAGCTTCAGAGAGTTTGTCTTTTCGCTGCAGTGAGGACAGAATTCATCTGTTAGATCTGAACCATCACATTAGTCTCTGCAACTCTGACATGTTAGAGACATAGGGACCAACTCTGAGGAGCACAGGGACTGGCCTCCTGCTGGGACTCTGAGGAGCACAGGGACTGGCCTCTCTCTCTCTCTCTGCCCCCTCTCCTCTCTCTCTGCTCTTTGTCTCTCTGCTCTCTCTCTCCTCCTTCTCTGCTCTCTCTTCTCTCTCCATGCCCCCTCCCTCCTCTCTCTCTGTTCCCTCTCTCTGCTCTCTCTTCTCTCTCCTCTCTCCTCTGTCTCTCTCCTCTACCTCTCTCTCTCCCCCTCTCTCTCCTCTCTCTGCTCTCTCTCTCCTCTCCCTCTCTCTTTCTTATCCCTCCCTCTTCTCTATCTCCTCTCCCCCTCTCCTCCCTTTCTCTTTGCTCCCCCTCTCTCTGCCCTCTCCCTCACGTCGCTCATAGACTCGTCAGAATAGCATTAGAGAAAATCTCAGGTGAATATTATTTCTGCTTCAGTCAAACTAGCGGCAGAGAAAGAACGGTCTCATCACTGCAGCGTTATGAAGAAAGATTGTCCCATAATCCTTTGCTCCGTGTGCAAAACCCCGTCGTATAATCCCGGGAACATCTCATTTCCTCCACAACTGTCGCAATAACTGTGCTCCAGAGACGTCGTCATCGGTGAATATTTAACGCTTTCAAAACAGCGATCTGTCAAAGGTTTGAGGAGGAAATAATGCAAAATGTTATGTTGTCATTTTGGGATTAAAAAAGTAGCAATGGGTAAGATTTTCATGTGAATTCATCATTAATAAAGGGCCCTAATCTGTCATCATTAAAGGGCCCTAATCTGTCATCATTAAAGGGCCCTAATCTGTCATCATTAAAGGGCCCTAATCTGTCATCATTAAAGGGTCCTAATCTGTCATCATTAAAGGGTCCTAATCTGTCATCATTAAAGGGCCCTAATCTGTCATCATTAAAGGGCCCTAATCTGTCATCATTAAAGGGTCCTAATCTGTCACCATTAAAGGGCCCTAATTTGTCATCATTAAAGGGCCCTAATCTGTCATCATTAAAGTGATAGTCTGTAACTCTAAATCAATTACAAATTTTAGGAACTATGTTAAATAGACCTCCTGGCCTTAAATGTTGATATAAAATAAGTAATTTTATTAATTCTAATATTACGGGTAAGTCCCGCCTTCCCTTCTCTTAGCTATAACTCAGAATCCACGGTGCCGTCGAGGTTAACCAATCATATGATGCCAAGGGCTGTCAATCACAGCGCTGATGCTCGTAGCTGCTCATGCTCAGTTGTTTGTTTTCACTGAGCCTCAGAATCAAGCCTTTATTAGGCTCTGAACCTATCCATAATCATTTATATACTGAACCTATATCCATAATCATTTATATACTGAACCTATATCCATAATCATTTATATACTGAACCTATATCCATAATCATTTATATACTGAACCTATATCCATAATCATTTATATACTGAACCTATATCCATAATCATTTATATACTGAACCTATATCCATAATCATTTATATACTGAACCTATATCCATAATCATTTATATACTGAACATATATCCATAATCATTTATATATGAACCTATATCCATAATCATTTATATACTGAACATATATCCATAATCATTTATATATGAACCTATATCCATAATCATTTATATACTGAACATATATCCATAATCATTTATATATGAACCTATATCCATAATCATGTATATACTGAACCTATATCCATAATCATGTATATACTGAACCTATATACATAATCAGATCCTCTGCAGGTTTGTCCTATAATGTGCGGTTCATGATAATAGCACTTATGGGTTTGCCGCGATCACT